TGAGCACACACGGCTGGGCGGCATAAATACGACTGGGAATCCAGCAGTTGAATCAGTCTTAGTCGGAAAGCACGGGAGATCACTTCGCCCACTGCCTAATAGCGTTTGATAATGTCCACCGCAGTTGTGGACGAAACGTCAGGATTCCATAGACTGCCATAGACCACGGCTTCAAAGCCCGGAAAACATTCCTAAATGTGATTTAACCGGCCGTGAAAGCCTTCATAGTATGCAGAGTGTCTTGAAATTAGAGCGCATTCAGCTAAAGGCAAAAACCGCATCTCCGAACTAATATACAGAGTGTTATATAAGATATATCGAACATAGCGCCAACGCCGTATTGCCGACAATCTTTGGAGTGAATAGAGCTTATCTGATTACTTAGACAGAGATTTTGCATAGTTTTATCTGTAAACGTTTAATACCCCAATTCCATACAAAATAAGGGGTATAGTTCCCCAAATCCCAATATAGTTATTATTGTTTGTGTATCTTCCAGATAGTCCCACATGAAGATAGATTTTAAGGGGTGAGAAATACGAGTGTGAGTGCAATTTGAGTGTGGCTTATAATATTGGTGATAACTGCTAACTGTTTTTCTTGATTTACGTTTGATGAAAGTTGCTCTATAACAGCAACGTGTCCATACAAAGGTTTGGAGCATAAATATGCACCGCCAAGCTTATGAATGGAACACGAGATAACATACAAAATGGTGTATAAGAAAGAGGTGATTGCGAATTGAGGCTGCTAAAGACGTGGCCGTTAAAGGCTTGGAAGTGTTTGCTTCGCCTTCCAATGTTTATTCCTTTCTTATAAGTCTTTGTTCCACTCATATATGAATTATGAAATGAATATGAAAAAAATCAATTCAATTGTTCATTGACAAACACCTACCATGAACGAAGCTTGACGAAAGACGAATGTATTTTTTTTAATGGTTTTCAACATTGTGGCGTGGATTAACAGGACTAACCAATAAATGCGAGAACATTAAGGGCTGAAAGCAAATGACGAGCTCAAACTCTACTGTCTCAGTTCTTTCACTGATTTTTATCATGTATGGATCATTTTTCAGCCTGATCCGAAAATATGCCATGAATCACTCATGGATCAGATCAAGCGTGGAGCCACACTTAAAAGGGCAAAAATCATCAACGATCGATCGGCTCCGAAGATTTACTAAATATTTTGACGTCGTAATTTTGCTTAGTATTATCAGCTATTTCACTGCATCATCGATTTAGTAAAATACATATGCGCAGAAACAGGATTCATTATTTCAGATGGAGTGTTTTCGAAATTAGTAATGCAAAAGATAATTTTCACTACAAAAATGTTTTCAAATTATTTAAAATTAATAAGGATAATTATATAAGAACAATTGAAATAACACATCAATTAGACCAACATAAAACAATTATTAGATGTCTAGTGGGGCTTTGAGTCAATTGTTAAGCCAGATAAATAACATCTAAATATTTTGCAAAGCTCAACTCGGAAACATATCGATCTCCACCAATTCGTGATTAGATTGCACTCAAAAAACTTTAAATTGTCATTTTTTCATTATTTTATAGAGCCGAAAACATACTGCCATTTAATAATGATGTAAGTAAAATTTGTGTTATTTCCGTTGTTTTATAATTTTTTATCACTCCATCATTACCAAGACCTTAACGTTAGTACACAGTTTTCCACCAGATATCCAATATATAATTAAAGTTATTAATGTATCAACAAATAGCAATTTAGATCGAATTCCCCTTTAAACCAAACGTTATTCTAGTTCCATAAACATATTATATAATCCAATGCTATATAATTTAGATGTGTATAATTAGTACTATGGTAAGAAAACACTGTAGATGTTGATTGATGTCTTCTGAATACAAAATGATAAATTGGCGTCCATTTTTTGTATGAACCGTTTGATGACTGAATTATTTTTGTATTTTGTAGTAAAACCCAAAAAACAGGAGTCTCATCTTGGATGTTATATAAACAATTATGTAAATTAGATTAAAGCTGCATGGTTTTCACATCATTTTAGTAAGAAACTAAATATTTAAAATTCGTACTTATGAATTACGTATATAAGTATAAAATGAATCTCGTATCGTTCATTTTGTTCAATATTTTTTTGAGCGCTATTTACAACGCTAAAGTGAAAAAGGAAAGTACCGAAACTTGTATGTTAATACATGCGCAACAAATGGGTTTATTGTGCATACTGTGCACTGGAATRTGTAARAATATGCAGAGSGTGTCACATTTAAATAAAAATAATWAAAAACTTAGCAGGCACACTTAGCTGTTTTTCCATCAGTCTTCATTTTGATATGAGTCAAGACAAAGCCTGATTTGGAAAAMCAACTCAAAAKGATTATTGTAGTAATTTACAACAAGTTMTATTAAAATATATTTAAGCCAAAAAGAAAAATAAATGTMWTGATTMATTTTTTCCTAAATGATGAGTGMTGCTGAAAATCTGCATCTAATATTTGATTTCGACAAAATTTCATCTTAAAACGAAGTAAAAATGTTATTTTCAGTTTTTGTTCGGAACTCACTTCTTTTGCATTATAGCATTTTAAAAACACCGAAGAACAATTGATAAACGTTCGTTAAAAAGTTAACGGTTTTTCATTTCAAGTGTTTAAAACCATTTTTTAAATATTTGGTTTCTTCTAGTTGACTGGYAATTACMAATTTGTTTAAATACGAAATACCATTTTCACTAACCAATTGTCAGCTACTATCTTCCTAGTTTAGTAAGTGTACAAAAAATTAATATACGTATTCAACTCATAAGACTTCTCATAATCACAACTTCATGTATAAAGTTTTAAACTAGATTTAATATATTCGAAGATTGTTAGACACTGTAAGTATACATAGCACGTTTCTTCTTTTAATTTGTTTTATTTTTGTGTATTTTAATTTTAGTTATTGAAATTTCTTGAATATTAATTTGTTTTAGATTAGTTACATTAAAAAGTACAATAACTATTAGCTGTTTTACCCTCAAAGGTATATTAGGAGTAAGATTTGTTCAGAAATGGTTTGGGTAAACGAATTATCTTTGCAATTGACTGCATAAAATAAAACAAGTTTTCAAAATTGACAGGAATATCCTTCATTATAATGAAGACTTGCGAAAAAATGCTTTATATAAAGGTATCCTAAATTGACTAAAATGTGTTTGCAAAATTTTACATTAGTGATGTTTGCCGTAGAGTATTTTTGTAACACCGTAACGTGAATGAACCTATTTTACATCAACCACCTTGAATGTGTTAGTTGATTCGAAATGTTTCACAGTTGCTTGCAATAATGCAACACTCCTGACACTCAGATCTTTAATATAGTAGTGTGCTCTTTCATAAGTAACTGTCGAGAATGTTAAATTAAGTATTTTATGTAAACGTTAACTGTGTATATAAATGTTTATACTCCATTTATTGGTGTAGACTAAGGCTGGCCATAACTAGTTTCATGAAAATATTGACTGTATAATGCACAAAGTGTAAACATAATATTAGAATATACTTTTCTATGCAATTATAACAACGAAAAGAGGAGAAAAAATCGCGCATTAATAATAATCTTAATTTTCATGTAAGAATTTATAAGTGAGTTCGAAAGTTGATTTTAGCTCACAAAATTGTGAAGAGAACATCATTCAATAAAAAGATTGCTCCATTAAAGCAGAAAAAAATCCGAACAATAGTGAGGTGTTAATTTTCATTGTCTTTCCTGCTTAGAATCGGTACAATTTTGATTGTAGATAAACAGTCTCCTTTCCGTAAAGCTAGACTTTGGCCAGTTTTTCAGTATCATTGGTATTGATAAAGTTGCATCCATGTTTAAAGTGATACATATTAATTATTATTTATATGATACAATAATCCGTAAAATTTTAATATGATTAATGATGTATGTTTGAAGCGGATTGCTTTTCATTTGTGTTGTGCATGATTAAAGGAAAATAAAGTTAATTAATGTAGCACTTATTTGATTCCGTCACCAGACTCACTTATTGTTGTTGCACTATGTAATATTGATCAAATCCATAATATATTTGAAATAATTTATTACTTAAAAATGGCATGGCAAAATATGTTACAACAAACTTAATATTACACGGATGTTACCTCAATCATTGACGATGAGCCCAGCTGCTGTATTGCACTTTTCGACGTTTATTGGCCAGCTTAGACCATAATTGTAAGAATTAATAGTCTACATGACGTTAAAATATAAAACCTGCAGGACTTGCGATGGTGTATAGCAATACGTTATTATTTACAAGCAAAAATGGAATTGGCCTATTTTCATAATTTCGATTCGTACCTCAACATCATAGTGTTGGCATTACCAGGTTCTAAAGAATACCCTAACGATTTGTAAAACTGTATTAGCTGGTCCTTACAGTCAAGGGACATTTTATAACTGCCCAGCTTTTTAGCTAAGAGAGTTACAGTTAAAACGATCCTGAAAACGAACAAAAACATCATCTGTATATTTCATACGCTTTCAATTTACTGATGTATTGTTAGTGCAGCTGTGCAACGAGTTATCCGTGCCAGTGGATTTACTCAGCAATGTTAGCAAGTCGAATTTTTTTAGGTAAAACAAATAAGTAATACTTACAGTTTTCCAAGCTGCTTTCCTCGGTAAGTATTGTTGACTACTACATCTTCTAATCTAGCTCGTTCGCCGCACTTATGGATGAACTTTAATTCAGTGACTAAAGTGGCAGAACCAATAATCCGACTATCTCGAATGTCTTCAATCACAGTAACAAAGTAGCATCCTGCTTTTTGCATTTTTCGAAACTGAACTGAAATCAAATGTAATTATATTAGAAATGAATGATAAGCAGGTTGAACAAATCATTATCAAATGATAAGGAATACGTGCCATGTAAAACAATTTACTAGCAAGTATGATATTAATCAATAAAGGAGAAAAAGAAATAACAAGCAAAATGGAAACATTCTGTGCTCCCCAATAACATCCAGGGGAAAGATGTAAATTTTGAATTACGCTTTAGCAGTTAACGATTGCCATTTCACTCACAAGTTATATACGTTATAATTACCTTCAAAGTCCGTCTTCGAAACATCGCCAACTGTTGTCAACTGGCTAAGTAGCTGCAAATATCCTTTATCGTAATCTTCAATTTGCAATGGTCTAACCAAGAAGTAATCTTCTCCTGGATTCTCATTAGTTATAAAGGGTGTTACTTTGCTTTGAACCGACTTCCAATCAAGTCCATGGAGAATATCGGGATTGTACAGATACGATGTGTGGAAATCCCCATTTGCCTGCAAAATAAAATTAATAAATTATTTTCTTCGATTATTTCGACTTACTGGCATGTTGTAATACATGAATTGGTCGATTCAGATTTTGATTTTGACAACGTAAATCCGAACATTTACTCAAGTAGTTGCCGAAAAGCAGCATGGATAAACAAAGATAACGAAAGGATTAACTTTAGAATAAAAGAAATTGATACACCTAGACGATAAGTATTCCTGAGAGATAAAAAAATGTACGTTAATACTATTGTCTAACGCAATTATTTGCAAGAAGAGTGCACAGTTATATTACAGATTGATACAATTTTGATGTTGAAAATTTGCTTGAAGTATTGCAATATTCAACAAAATAATGAAGATTAGATTGTTCAGAATCTTAACAACCGACGAAATCCAGTACGGTTTCATTCATTCATTTTTTCTTGTTAAGTAACGTTTATTATTTGTCATACGTTTTATTTATGTGATGACTCAAATGATGGACTTAATTTATATCAAGGCTCGAATCTTACTGTACTTAATTTCGACATGAATTGAATTGATAGATTTGAAATAATCTCAGCAAGTGCCAGCCAAAAAAACATTGGATTTCACCACATTGTGCCGATTTTCACTTGAAACCATTGGAAACTTCCTGATGATGACCGTATACTTATCTGAGATTATGGTGATATTGTGCAGTATTTATGAATTCAAATAGACAAACACATCTTCAGGAGTCTTGTTTTAACTGATTTTGTGAAGACTAGGTATATTTTTCTATATCAAATGCTGCATTAGAAAATTAGTATTTAAATTCATAGCATTAATTAAACAGCTCAAACCAGATAGAAAAATAATTTACAGGATGACACAGGATTTCTGAACATAGATTTTAGATGCGCATTTTTCCTATCCACAAAAAGTTCACAATTTTCATATAAGGAGGGGTTCTGATATGCACCATTTCCAAACTATAAAATATGAAAAAATGGAGTTTTTTATTCATCACATTCGCTAGTATTTTAGGCGTCATGCTCATGTCTATCTCTCTACATTTTCCGTTTGAAAAACAGGGAACCCTACCACTGAACTGGTCAGTTCAGTGTAAGCCACTCATGCTTGCCACCCATATTTTCCACGAGGGCCTAAAAAACAGGAAAACGCACCAGTTGTAAAAATGGTCGCGAAAGATTATTTCGGGAAATAACATAATGAATGAAAGAAATGAAAAATATTTCTAAAAATGTTAATTGAATTCAATATTAGAAATTATTAGGATATGTAACAATGTTTAGTATTTGCTATGCTTTGACTAATACAATTGGGAAATAAAATTATTTAAAAAAAGTTTCTGCTATATATCCTGGAAAATTGTTCTTTTTAGAACAACACGAACACAGTTATCATGAAAGATAGTTACACTTTGGCGATAGTCACAATGAACTTTTATGGCTATACTTAGTTACAATTTTTAAAATAGTTTTTTGGTGCCGTCTTTGACAGTTTTGCCTGTAACTTGAGATGAGGAGATGCATTTTAGCCCTTCAGTTTATGGACAAATTAGGACTTGAGCTCCTCCAATACCTGAATTCATTGCTCATATTTAATAGATAATGTTATACTTGCTGGGGCAATTAAGGCGGGTTAATATGCACCTAACATTTAATTTAATTAACCAAGAAAGATAACAAGAAGAAAGTAGGATTTTTAAAATCCAAATTGAGCTATCCATATGTACTTATTAAGCAATATGGACAGGATACTTTCAGATTTACTGTGAAGAAAGATTTCTGAAAGAAGAAATAATCGCCTGTACTTGACTTTTTAAATATACCAAATTCAACGTAAAACCGTGCTATGTGAGTTCAATACAATTATAGAACAGAACTCACCTTTCCATTTGCAACCATTGTGCAGCAATACAGGAACTGAACAATTGCTGAAGTTTAAAACAAATAAGATTAATGACAACCTTGACTGGCCTACACTTTCACAAACCGGCTCTAAACTAGATTTTAGCTTTAGCGTTACTGGTTACATTTTGTAATGAAATGTACTTTTCTTTTTCGATTTTGGTGACGTTTTCCCTTGTTTACAATTATGATTATATGAGAGATAACAGCTGGTTTACCCTGTCATATTTTGATAACGGTTACAGTGTCGCCAATGGAATTAAACAAATTTTCACTAAGAGCTTAATGAAATAAAAAAGTATATATTTAAATGAATGGGATCTTAGACAAGATAATCGGTAGGGTTTTAACAGGAACTTATTTGGTAGTCAGGATTCGGGAATGCAGTAAATTTAAATTGCAGGCTAATTGCAGTTAGTTTATTTACTATGCAGGAAAAGGCGACATTATTGCATATTTTTTATTAAAAATGATTTCAAATTTATATAGCGCAAAAAATTGTCCTGCACCTCACACGTGTGAATTGCATTAACATAATGAATTATAATAATAAATAACTACACACATTTTTCCTCACAGGTATTAAAATGGATGATTGTTGCCATTGGTTCTCTATAATTAGTTTTCATTCACTTAATAGTAAATATACTTAAATAAAAATTATTTACATATGTTAAAGTATGTGCTGCGTAAATTAATCTACTTTTCAACGTTCACAAATGGATTATTAATTTCCTCAAAATTAGGATCATTTTCGGTAGAATATCTGCCAAGACGAGACATCAGTAAAAAAAATACTAAAACTGCTAAAAATACCAAAGTTCCCAACATACAGTATCTACGGGACTTGGATCTGTGCCCTCTAGAAGCTACTGAAGCACCAAATGTAACTCTGAAAATTTGAACCATCATGAAAATACACACAAATACATGGATTTAAGCTCAGATAAAGGCTCTTACCTCCACCAAGTCGATACGAACTCAGACAGCGGCCTTCTCTTATATTTATTCTCATCGTGGTCAAACGGTAAAGATTTTAGTGTTCTGATATCCTAAAAGTACTAATAACTTAGTTATTCACGTACAACAAGAAATACCTAATGCAAAAAGGCCCACCTGAAAATGTTTTCGGTTGGATGATGTTCCATGGTAATTATCTATTCTATTAAAAGCACCGTGATCATCTAACGTAACTACTGAATGTGATGGACTCGGTGTAGATCTGACGGGTACAGGTAGTGATGAATTCACATGATTAATTACTGACTTTACTTCTCGTTCTTCAGATAACTAAAACATGTTTTAAACAGTTTTTTTAATTGTACCATAAATAGTCTGAAAAAATATTAAAAAGCTCTAAGCTGTAAAGCTGCAAGTCGGTGAAAAGGTGATGCAAAATCAGATAGAGGTTTCACGACAAAAATAACTCAAAACGTGTTGAATTAGGCCCGCTCCCATAATTTCTCCAGCGTGTGTATACAGGGTGATTCTTAATTGAAGCTTTATATGCAGAAAATATTTTCATTTTAAGACCAGTTCAAGAAAGAAATGGTTTAGGAGCTTTTGTGAAGAATGTGTTTTTTACTGGGAAAAAGAAATTAGTAACTATCCAGAACGATCTTTACTTAAGTTGGTTCCTTTCGTGTTTTTTAATTGTATTTTTCTGGGTTCCGCTTTGGGTTAAATGTTCATCTGTGTCGTTAAATTTCCTGCTTTACTTTTGTTTTATTATAAAACTGGTAAAAGTGAGATTGAAAACATCCGCCGTACAAAGTGTATTTTTCATTAATACATAAAATATGTCGAGTTTGATTGCAACACTCAAAGCCATGTTGCTGCAACTCGGAAAATAAAGATAGTTTATTTTTAACTAATCGATTCCACCAAAAAAAAAAAAATCAGAAAGTTAAGAAGTTTAGTTTTTTTAAGGAGGCAAGCCACTTGCCTGAGAACCGCGATGTAAGGATGTGGTTGACCACTGCTTAAACATAATTTTGTAAAAAATCGGTCAATTTAAAGCCTTTTCCTTCCTTTCATGTTTTGAAATTTTCGAAAAAAATCCCGATTTTTATCCGTACAGGAAATACATTTCTCTCTGCATTTATAACTAAAACAACTCAGCCTGTGCTACTAAGCTGACTCGAACAAATCTAGTTTTCGTCCAAGACTATAATAATTGATGCTTACGAGAGGAAGCCCTAGACCTGCTCTAGCCCAGTTGACCCCGGCGAGTTTCTCCTTTAACACATCAGCTACAGGGCTGATCAAATTTGGAGCTGGAAATAAGGGACTTTTGCAGGAAGGACAAACGTACCCTCTGGGTGCTGTTGTTGGAGGCAACTGCCTTGAATGATGATCCAGACAGGACCAATGAAAGACATCTAAAATTGCAAATTACGTACAAATGTAGAGGTAAAAGGAGCGACAACTAAGAGATGTTTATGGCCCACGAGTGAAGAGACTGATTGATAAGTTAAGTACTCACGATAACAAGTTAATCGAATACTATCTTCAACATGTAGGTCTTTGGAACAGAGTTCACAAATTGAATTATAATCGCTGTCCTGTAACCATTGTAAGTAGGACTGAACCACACACTAAAATATAAGTAAAATATCAAACTAACGAAGCTTTTTGTCGTCAATTTCTGTATTAATATGTACTTACGATGGGATGATTTGTAACCATACAAGATTCACAAACACACACCCGATGTTCGAAGCAAAACTGGTTAGTGACTTGTCGTTTGGGGCATTTACAAAGCCCCATTTTGGCGAGCAGAACTTTTTACAACCTGAACCAATTTTAAATTTAACGAATACAACTGGGGCTTTTGCGGAAAACCACAATAATTGAAACTACCTCCACGTAGCTAACAAAAACATATTTTGACTTTTAAGTTTGACGTTTACTCAAGATGACATGTACCATGGTTCCCAATAGGATAATTTATTTTCCTTAAAGTTCCAACACGTTGGCGCCAATTTTAAATAAGCTGCTTTTTAATGAAATGCTTCTAAAAGAGG